TTTCAGTTGAGCTTTAAGCACTTCCCTCCCCTAACTCTCAACCAGCTAATGTTAGAAATGTTAGAAAGCATAACATTTCAAAGTGGTTTATTTCATAAAACTCTTTGTATTCTTTGGTTGCTTGAGAGATTATCTGATACAAAGCACTGAGAGAAGGCTATGCTTTGGAGAAACATGATGCCTTAACCTAATCTAAACACTTGACTTCAGATGATGAGCAGAAGTCAAAACGTATATACATTGGTGACTCTTCAGTGAGATAAATGAAGTATTTAAAGAGGTAAAAAGAAAATATCTGACCCACTGTTATGAGCAAGTATTGCCTGAAAAGAACATTGTGAAATTTTAGAAACTTTGAAGCACGGTAGGCAGTCATCCTTGCTGTATGCTTCCTTGCACTTCATCTTTGTCCAGGTCCGTCACTACCAGGAGTCTGTGAATTATCTAGAGGCATTCCTTGGTTCATCATTCTATTGCCAGCACCCAGTGTCTGCCACATAGTGAGGATTCATTTCTTGTTCAGTGACTGTTTTTGAATGTCAAGGTCCTTGTTAAAGCCAGACATTGGGTTCAGGTGTCTGTGGATGAATCTGCATCTTTTTTCTTTTCACTAGACATTCTTGGGATTCTTTGCTTCTGTGTCCCTCCATCACAATGGACAAGATACACCATAACATTTTTATTACTGTTTCCTTGTTCATATTGGTAATATTTTTGTACTAAGTACAGAATTTTATTCTATTTATTTTTAAGATTTTATTTTTATTTATTTTTTTAAACATTTATTATTGAGAAACAGAGAGCATGACAGGGCAGGGGCAGAGAGAAAAGGGGAGACATAGAATCCAAAGCAGGCCCCAAGCTCTGGGCTGTCAGCACAGAGCCCGATGTGGGGCTTGAACCCACAAACTGTGGGATCATGACCTGAGCTGAAGTCGGATGCTTAACCAACTGAGCTACCCAGGCGCCGCTAAGATTTTATCTTTTAAGTAATCTCTACGGTACCCAACATGGGGCTTGAACTAACTACCACAGTATCAAGAGTGACACACTCTACTGACTGAACCAGTCAGGCACCCTGCCCCCTAAGTACAGAACTCTAGAAAAATTAAGCAAGAAGAGCCAGGAAATTCTGCACATGAAGAGTAATCCTAGGGGGATGGTTAGATCTACTAGAGATTAAAATATAATATCAAGCTTTAATAGTTAAAACTGTATGGCACTGGCGCATGAATAGACAGGTCAGTGTATCAAAATAGGAAGTGCTGAAAGAGATCTAAATATATATGGAAATTTAGTGAGGTTTCAGAAAGGCATTTAAATCAGCGGGGGAAACAACAGTTCTAAAATGATGTTGAGGCCACTTGGTAAACATCTGAAAGAAATTAGGTTAGATCCTTTTCTTATACCTTACACCAAAATAAATTCCAGATGGAGCATAAATGTGAATGTAAAATTATGAAGCCATAAAAGTACTAGAAAAAAACATGTAAATGTTTTTATAATATTTGAGTGACAGTGACTTTTTAAAATTATATTGTAAAACTAAGACTGTTTTAACAAATGATATATTTGACCACTTATCAGATTTCCATATGGTGAAAGAAAATGCCATACAGAGACAGATAAACTAGGGAAGTACAACATATTTTGCAAACTAAGGGTGAATTTCTTCAATATATAAGGAGTTTTTCAAATAATAAGACCAGAAATCTAACAATCGAGGGAGCCAATTTATGGAAAAGGAAGTACAAATCCTTCATAACTTAGGGAAAGCTATGTAATGCAAATTCAAACCACAATGAAATGCCATTTGTCAGATTGGCAGAGATTGAAAGTTTTGATTACAGGCTGTGTTGGTAAGGATTTGGGGAAATTAGCACTTGTATACATATGTTGCTGATAGAAATGTAAAATGGCACAACTTCAGTGGAAAATAGTTCTGTGCTATAAAACATAAAAACCCTTACACCCATCAATTCCAATTCAAGGAATTTATCCTGGACATATTCACAAATGATACATGTCCAAGAAGATATTTTCCCAAATGGTTCTACCATTTTAAACCAACAGTATCCAAGTTCTATGTAGTCCAGTTCCTTGCCAAAACTTGTTACTCAGTCCTATTAATTTTAGCCATTCTCGTGTTTATGCAGTAGTATGTTATTATGCTTTTAATTGCATTTCTGGTAACTGATAGTGAGTATATTTTCAGGTACTTGCTAGGTATTCATACATATTCGTACATATTTGGTACCTTTTTAAAAATGGATTTTTTATTCTTGAGTTCTCAAATTTTTGATCTGTTTTAGGTACATATGTTTTGTTACTATTTTCTCTTAGTCTTTGGCTTGCCTGTTTTCTTCTTTTAAAAAAAATGTTTTAATATTTATTTTTGAGAGACAGAGACAGAGCATGAGTGGCGTTGGGGGAGGGAGGGGGGGGAGACACAGAATCCCAAGCAGGTTCCAGGCTCCAAGCTGTCAGCACAGAGCCTGACCCGGGGCTCGAACTCACCAACCGTGAGATCATGACTTGAGCCCAAAGTCAGATGCTCAGCTGACTGAGACACCCAGGTGCCCTGTTCCTGTTTATTTTCTTAACTTTTTAATGCAGTATATAATTTTCATGAAGTCTAGCAGCTCACCAATGTTGTGGGGTTTTTTTGTGTTTTTTTTTTTAAATTTATTTCTAGGAGAGAGAGAGAGAGACAGCGTGAGCAGGGGAGGGTCAGAGAGAGAGGGAGACACAGACTCCGAAACAGGCTCCAGGCTCTGAGCTGGCGGTCAGCACAGAGCCTGATGCAGAGCTTGAACCCACGAACTGCGAGATCATGACCTAAGCGAAAGTCAGACGCTTAACCGACTAAGCCACCCAGGCGCCCCACCAGTGTTGTTTTTTTAATGGTTAATGCTTTTTGTGTGCTAAGAAATCTTTGTATACTACAAGGTGAGGAAAATTTACTCTCTTTTTTTCTGTAAAAGTCTTCTATGTTTAGCTTTTATTCATAGCTTTTTTCCCCTCATCAGATTTTCAAAATGGTCTCTAACCCAAAAGGAAAATAAAAAAGATATAGACCCCTTGCTTTAGGCCGCTGGTTTTTCAGATATGTTAATATGGACAGTGTCACATCATGCCGCCGTTCTCCACCAATAAAACACTTTCTGAATTAATAGAAGGACATTGCTTTTAATAACATAGCATTGAACATCGGGCTTTATGACACCTACTAATTATTAATTCATCTCTAAATAACCTGTGTTGTGAGTTTTTATGGTGGATGACTCTGTGGTCCCTGTGGAGAGCTGCCCCTGTGGGTGACCTTGCCTGTGCCGGAGCGCTGCGGCATCAGCACTGCCGGGAGCTGTCTGGGAAAAGCAGGGTCAGAGTCCTGAGTTCTGGCCTTCCTCCTGTCCTGCTTTCTCTCTTCGCCAGCAGGCTTCCCATTTCACCTAGAATAGAGTTCAAAACGTGAATTCTGAGGCCTCACAGAATCTGCTCCCAACCTCCCTTTCCATTTCTGCAGGACCTCGCTATTTCTCGTTCCTTAGGGTGATCTTGCAACTCTGCGTCTTTGTTTTTACTGTTGCCTTCATCTAGATTGTTCTCATTCCTTTTCATCCTGCCCTGGACTTAACTCCAGTCAGTCTGTTAAATCCCCAGTAAAACTCCATATCCTTCTGGAACTCTCTCCCAGCTTCTCAAGAAGGAACTAGTTTGCACACACTTTCTCTCTGTACGGTCTTCCCTGTTAGCTTGCGGACTTCTGAGTGCTTCAAATACGAGGGGGTGTGGTGTTTCTTGCTCATGTTAGCGGGGCTTCGCACACTGACCTGCACGTAGCCTGCCGGTTACAGAGTGCCGGTCTGATACAAAGGTATGCAACGGCGCGGAGCCCATAAGAGCAGTATTCTTTGTAAAGTGTTTTGCATTCGATAGAGTTTTTCAAACTCTGATGTTGTGACCCACTTGCTGTTCGTAAAAGCACTTTTATGGTTCAGGAGCATCATTAAAAAACAAAATGGAGTAGGTCAGGAAATAAAAGATTACATAACACATATGTGTTCTGTAGTAAAAAGTTTGTTTCTAGTTCCGTATTTGCATTTATGTTTTCTAGGTTTTGATGCAAAGTGTATTTCTCACTGTGGGTTGTACCAAAAAGAATTGGGAATCCCTGCACTGGATTTTAACCTCTATAATGAGTTTTGAATTTTGAAATTTTAGGGAAGAGATATTTGGAATTTTTAATTAACTTTGATACTCCTGAATTTTTTCACTAAATGATTTCACATAATTTGTACCTGTGGGCAAATGATTTTTTCTTTCTCCAGCATCTAGTGTGTAGTCCTCGTTTTAGACTTGGGGTACATCTTTGGGCTATAAATATGTAAAACATTCCTGCAAAATGGCATTTTTGAAGAAACTAGAGAATTATTATCATAGGTGTTTTTCTAAAATTTCTGTAATGTGTTTTAAACTTCTCTGTATTTACATTTATCAGTTTAGATATTTCATGAAAGCTTCTTGACAAAACAGTAGTGTTTAGTACATTAGAATGATATGAGTGTTATCAACTGAATCTACAAATTAAAAACTTCTGAAATTCCATTTTTGAAAATGAGTTTGCTCCATATATAAATTATAATGCTTTCATACGAAAAGACCTTTCACGTTGATTTTGAAACTGGGTATTCTTTGCAGTCAGTCAGCCAGCAAGAATCATATATCAAACATTTGAAAACAAAGTAGAAACTCGAATCTTCCAAATCAATATAGGCATCACAAGTAGTGATGCATTACTTGTAGAAAGCTTTGGAATCATATGTGCATTCTTGAGCTGGGAAAGCAGTGACTGAAAGCAGCTAGTATTTACAGTAAAGCTGTTTGGTTGACTTTGTTTAAATTTGTGATTAAAACCTTTCCTGGAACTCTGGAGCCTTGTAACCAGGAAGTTACTGTGTTTGTAAAGCCTGTGTTCTTTTTCCTTCACTTCTCCTTAGGGTCAGTATAGACCTTCTGATTTGTTGTGTCCTGAGACGTACATTTGGGTGCCCATCGAACAGTGCCTGCCTTCACTTGAGAACTCAAAGTACTGCCGTTTCAACCAGGACCCGGAAGCAGGTACGTTTGCAGCAGAGCTCTGCCAGAAATCTGGGTGTTGTGTTCAGGTTCCACGTGTGTGGCTTTGACTCTTTGGAGGGTCCAGGTAGCTTTTTATCTATTGTAGAACGTGTGTGCTGTGTGCGCACGCATGTGTGTCAGCCGGGGAGGTACCACACGTGCACACACACAGCACTCTCACTTCTGGAAATAAATGCAGAAACCTCCTGTGCGTCTGCTGCTTACTAACCCGTCTCCTTCTGCTGTGGGGGCTGGTACCGCCTTCCATTTCGGTTACAGCTGTCACAGTGCCAGATCGCTCAGTTTAGGTCAAGAAGATAGAAACACTGGCCAGTTGGGCTGAACAAAGCTGGAGAATGGCCTCGGAGGCCAGCAGGCTGGAGTAGGCTTCGTGACAATTCTTTTCCTCCCTCCCTCCCTCCCTCCCTCCCTCCCTCCCTCCCTCTTTGGTGCTTCTCCTTTTCTGTCTCTACCTCCTGCACATGCAGTCCCACCCTGCCTGGCCATGTTGTATCTCTCAGCGTTCCCCGTTTGGGCCCTCTGTGCACTGGTGACAGGCACAGACACTGCACATACACCCTGGGGTCACACTTCCTGCGCTTGGGTCCTGGCTCCATCATCAGCCCGGAATTGTGTGCCCTGGGGCGATTTCATCATCTTCTTGGCCTCAGGCTCCTGGCCTTCAGAATAAAGATAATAGAACCTACCTTCTTGAGTCTTCCTGAGGATTAGAGTAACACAGCACGCTGAGGACAGCCCCCTCGCATTGCTGGCATTGCTGGGTTTAGATCGCAAGGCAAATTAGCATGCGACATCCCGCAGACTATGCCACAGGCTTTCATCTGCATTTGCCTGTTTGCTCTGATTCCTGCCTCCAGAAAAATCCGCGGTTCTAGTCACCTCCCTTGTCTAGACCTCGCTCAGTTTGCAGCCACCTTTCTCGCCCTCCCTGCGTCCCACCGGGCCTTCATCTACCAGGCATGAGTCGTGCTCTCGTGGTGGGTGGCACCGACTGCCCAGTTGGGTTTTTTCCTGGGACCAGAGTTGCTAGATGCCCCCCCCGCTGTGCCTCACTGACTCCTAAGTCCTCACAACTCACCAGAGGAGGCACCCAGTGCACAGTTAAGAATCATGCATTTTCTGTCTAGTCACCTGCAGTCTAAGCTTGGAGAAAAATCAGAAAAGGGCAATAGGCTAGGGGAGGGGCAGGGAGTAAGTGGAAAAATCAAATAGGAAGACAAAAGGAACAAACAAAGAAATGCAGTAATTTCTTCTGTTCTAGGATGTGCGTTCTCTCCCTCCCCAAATCAGGGTTTTTACTTCGAAAAAAGAAAAACTGGTTCATGTTTCGTTGTATTTTGGCATCTCCTAGAAAAGCTATTATGGAGTAGGCACTTCTTACATATGGTGATAACTTAGAATCTGACGAACACGTGGCAGTAGGGACCCACCTAACTCCTACGCCAAGCACCCCGAGGTCACCCAGGCTTCCTAGACATTTAGGGTTCGTAGGACAACCAGGGCTTTATAGCTCCTGCACCTCCGATTGTCAGTCAGCATTTCATTATTTCATTTTAAGTCGAATTACACCCGACTGATCAGACAGACAGATGTGTTGCTTACGGACAAACATACTGAATTTGTCACTGTTTGAGTCAGACTCAAAGCGAAAGGCAGTGGGAGTTCAGAGAAAAGCAAATACTTATCGACTGTCCCCTCAAAAATCATTGTGTTTTTCCTTTTTAGCTTTTCTCAAGAGCAGGTCAGAACCATTTCATTATGGTAGAAACTGCTAACCATCTTTCTGCATTACCTCAGGTTCACAAATAAAAGTGGATTAAGATTCCTTCCAACTCAATAATAATGATTGTCAGTTGGTTTCTGACTCCCAAATTTAAGACACAGTTTCATCATCCCTTTTTTCTTTTCCTTGATCTATTTTAAAGTTTGCTTCTCTTCTGTAATACTTGGAGATAAGGCAATCACAGGCCCTCCCTGTTTGATAAAGCTGAAAAGGTAACTGAATAATTTCCATGCACTGAATGAACATTCAAGTAAAGATTTATTCGTGTTAAGAGACTTTAAATTCATTTTCCAAAATTAACACTAAGGAGTATTTCATGGCAAAGAAAATTTGAAGTCTCATTTCGATGGTAATACACCGTGGTGAGTGAAGAGTGCAGGGCATGCTTTTCTCGTATAATCTATTACATTCCAGTTCTTATGGCACAAGCTTTACATCTTAATATAGTCATTGTTTAGAATTGATTTACACAAGTCAGAGGAGTAAATTTCTTCAAGGATAGTGCTTCAAAGAAAAGGAAGATCCATATGCTGGATCTTTGGAATTTGCAAGAGAATACCGTACAGGTTTATCAGTATTGAATATCACAGTCCAGACACTATTTGAAATCAGACTTATGTCCTGTGGTTTTAGGAAATTAAAATGCAGTTACATGCTGGAATGTATTGAGCGTGCTGTGAAACATGGTCATTTGAGATTTAAATGGCAATCTGTGAGAAACTGTTCTCTTCTCTTGGGTCAGTTTTACTTTTACATGACCCAAACTCTGACTCAGACAAAATACAGAGTTTAATACGGACGCCGTTGTTAGTCGGCATGGCGCTTTTTTCCAGTAAATCTTGTCTCTCCTCCCAGCTGCTCAGTAGTTAAATTACTCTGCAGAAGGCACAGCGGAGCACCACAGGTCTCTATAAAACACTTTGGCTACAAGGTGCGTCAGGAGCCACTTGTAAGAAAAATCACATTTCCCTCTACCCTGAATTGATGTAATAAGCCTCTGGAAATCCTATCCCTCCCAGCCCTCCACCCCCTACTCCCCCGCCTCCCGCATTTTGGAGGTTCGGGGTTATATGGTTGTTTGCTTAACTAGGAAGTCTGCATAAGGGTAAAAACCTGTTGCATTTACTGCTTGTGTGTGTGGAGGGGGAGGGACTGACAAACGGAAGCAACTTGGAAAATTCTAAAGACATCCCTTTGTTCATAAATAAGCCTTTTGTTTTTGAATCCAGGATCTCTGCCTCCGATCAAGAAGGATTTTAGGTTTCTCGAATGATTCTTAAGGAAAAATCAGTTAGATTGCGTTTAAATTGATAGTTGGATATGTGTAGAATTCAAAAATTCTGCATCACAGTTACATTTTGCTTCTTTTGTTTAAATTATCTTTAAAAAAGTGCTTACTGGGAAGAGTAGTAGTAGATTGATCTAAATGCATAAAACCACTGCTAAGGAGAAATACTGAGGGGTGTCTGGGTGGCTCAGCCAGTAAGCGTCCAACTTCATCTCAGGTCATGATCTCGTGGTTTGTGGGTTTGAGCCCCGCATCGAGCTCTGTACTGACAGCTCAGAGCTTGGAGCCTGTTTCAGATTCTGTGGCTCCCGTTCTCTCTGCCCCTCCCCTGCTCAGGCTCTGTCTCTTTCTGTCTCAAAAAAAAGAAGAAATACTGAAATGACCCATCAATCTCTCTCTACAGCAGTAATCACTGTCGGTATTTTTATGCTCTCCTCCTGATCTTTTCTGTGCACATGTCTGTGTACGTTCTTTATTTTTTTTTTTTAAGTTTTTTTTTTTTTTAATGTTTTATTTATTTCTAGGGGAGAGAGAGAGACAGACAGCGTGAGCAGGGGAGGGTCAGAGAGAGAGGGAGTCACAGAATCTGAAGCAGGCTCCAGGCTCTGAGCTGGCAGTCAGCACAGAGCCCGACGCGGGGCCCGAACCCACGAACCGCGAGATCATGACCTAAGCCAAAGTCGGACGCTTAACCGACTAAGCCACCCAGGCGCCCCTGTGTACGTTCTTTAAAATCAGAGCAGGAATCATCCTTCACACTGTTGTTGTTTTTCCTGAATACTTTGTGTTTCTCCTTCCTTTCAGTAAGGTAAGACCTACTTGACCACTGATTTGGGGCTTCAGCAGACAGATGCCACTATTTAGGTGACTGGCAGTGTCTAATACAGATACTTTACAAGAGGCGTTGGAAGTAAACCAGATGTTTTGGAGTTGGCTTTAGAACCATGATAAATTATGATTTGATTTGACTCTTAATGTTGTACAGGTGTTATACTATTTATTGTTGGTAGTAAAATCCTTTCGGGGGGCGTTTGCTGGCTCAGTTGGTAGAGCATGTGACTCTTGATCTCAGGGTCAGGAGTTCACACTGGGCGTGGAGCCTACTTAAAAAAAGTCCCTTTGGTTCCAGAGTTATAAAAATGGTAAGCTCATTGAGCATATGCTGTTTCCCAAGTCCCGTCCGGTGCTTCCTCCTGTGTTACCCCAGTCGATCCTCAGAACATGATGGAATGTTTTCATCGTTGACCCCCTCAGATATTATTTATTGTGAAAATATCAGTGGAGGCTTGTTTTTTAACTAGAGATTTAAAATAATTTTAATTCAGATATTGCTCTTTTATTTTTATAAGCACTTATTTTTAGCACTTATTTCAAAGAAGCTAATTAGAATGATCTTTATTTCTGTTTCTACTGATAATTACAGCAGTGTAGACATTTTACCACAGATTAGTCCATATTTCACTCCTTCTTTTCTGTACATACTTCAGAATGCTTGTAAGAAATTTCCTAATTATCTAAGTCATGTTATGAGGATATTGAATTTAAATTTGCTGTAAAAAGGACAGCACCTAATTTTGTCTTAGTGCTTGATGCATTTCCCCAAGTTAGAGGATTTCTGGGACATTTTACCTCTTCCAGCCTGGTAATAAGGAACTCAACCCTGAACTTCCAAGGCTCCCATCTGTGTTATTGTATGCTTTCATTTGTCTCTTCTCTTTACTCCCGTCTCCTCCCTTGCTGGCATGGTCCCTGGCACTTCTTCTGTACTGTCATAGTTTCTGTCATAAATGCCCATCAAAAAAGCAAGTCCCACTCTGACCAGGTGTGAAATGATCAGCCTCAGAAAGAGTTCTGACTGCTTTCGCTTGCCTGCTTTCCCTAAGCCTGGTCTTGCTTCCTGAATACTGT